AAGCACATAGCAAACCACAAAACCCTATCTTCATAAACCAATTGTCTATTGTCTCCATCTGATCCATAAAAATTATAAATCCATAAAATATCTTGTTTATTTATTTGTATTTATTTTTTGGTTTATTTATTGTTTATTTATATTTATTTTTAGATATGAGTGTGGTGTGATGTGATTCATACCATTCCCCTGCCATTTTCAGAGTTAATACAACATGGCCGAATATGTTGACTGACCGGTACTGTATATGATAATGTAAATGACTCGCCAATATGTAAACCACCGGTTTATTTTAAATACAATAGGGTTTTATTGGATTAAAATTATCAAGAGTTAACATTAATTCATGATTACAATAATAATTGATGTATTCAAATTTTATGTAAAATTATTGTGTAAATATTATTGTAAGTACTGTAAATAATATTGTCAGCAGAGATTTTTAGGTACAGCCTACGAATATTTTTTTATATTTCGATATTTATTGAACACGTGGATCAGAATTATAAACATGACGATATCTTGCATGTGAGCTTTTATGACATCTTGATTCTTCTAAATAAAACACCTTTACATTTATTTGCGCAGATATGTCTTTGGTCTTAAACGTATTTGCGAGTAAGAGTTTTAAAGTAGGACTATGGATTATTCCGACTGATTTTTGATTGAAATTGAGTGATGGGAACATTTACAAAACTGAATGGGTCGGTTACTAAAATGAAGAGTGGGTGTATTAGTTCCTAAATCTGCTTCAAGGTACCATATCTCTTCGTTGGTCAGTTTCAAAGCAAGAGTACGGTAAAGCTTATCTCATTTAAATTGTAATCGTATAGATTTCCACAAAGCTTTGCACATGTTGATCAATATTTTGTCATTCGCCTATTGGGTCTGATGATGATTGGAGTGTCCAATCGAAATCGATCACTTACCATCTTTTGTATATTTACCGTCTTGTGAGTAACAGTATAAGCGTAAGTATATGTTTTAAGTGTTATAAGACGTATCTTTATTTACTTTCCGTAAATGTAATAACACGTACAATGCTGATCAAGAAGTTATTCAATATTTTGTGTATTTTCCTACAAACGTAATTTTTTCAATTTCTCATATAAATGCATTTTTCTCAATTTTAATGGGTTCAATACTATTTTGATGTGATAGTTAACATCTCGCCTAACCCATCAATGAAGTTTCATCTTACTTTTATTCAATTTTTAAATATTATATCAACTCAAGTAATCAATACAAGGTCTTACATTTTGATTTATCTGATACAAAACATAGTTTTGTTGTTGAATTTTGTTTTATAGTTTTCTTTTTGTGTCTTTTTTTCAGAAAGGGTTTAAGTAATATTTGTATTTAAAAACCATTGCGTAAGTTATTGTACCAAAGAGATTATGGTTTGGTATATAGGATTATTATTTATCCATAGCATCATTGAAATAAAGTATAAATAATAAATTGACAAAGTTAATCAATGACTGCGTAGTGCAGGATGACTACATCAGCCAGCGTTAAATGCATAATACGTTTTTCCTACATTAGTTAGTTCAGTAGGGTCAGTATGGTCAGTAGATAGAGAGCGAGATTCAAGGTATATTTTTCATCCAGGTGGTGTAAAAAATAAAACTTAATTTTACTTGCCTGAGCCTGCAATTACAAAATATCACCATCACAGAGGTTCGAACTTATTTGTTAAAACCAAATCATGATTCACTCTGCCAAATCGGCTACTTGTGACATTGACATTTATGCAGGCAGATTCAAAACGACTACTGCATTTTCATTTAAATATTGTTGATGCCTTGGTGTATTCCCCAGAAGACACAGATGAGTGAGAACGATAACACAGCAAATAGCACAATACCATGTCGTCTGCAAGGTCAATGTTCCGTGGTGAGTATTGAAGTTATCTGCAGTACACGGCGTCATTCGTCTTAACAGATATACGCAGAACAGGTTTGCGCAGAACTATGAAAATCTTCTTTTTGATTTAGATTTGTTTACTAAGTAAATAAACGGTCAAAACTGGACTAGAAATGGGTTACAGTAGTTGTGCTTTATAAATTTATTAACTGGGCCAACCCCTTATCAGACTCGGGGCTGGGCGTACCTACGTAGGTACTAATGTTCCATCGTAAGCTAAAAAGGAAAATGGTTCAGATATTCAATCCACAAGTAGAACTCTCATGGTGATTTATCACAAGGTTTTTTATGTAAACGTGTTGGTTTTCTATTTTTCTCTTATTTGTTTGGGTTGCAGCTGATATACACCTTGTTATCACTTACGACGCAGACAACATATTTTGTCACTGGTTCTTAAAATGCATGTATCAGAATATTGTTTCTACTTATAGTGCTGAATCCACTCTACAGTTGACATACTAATTGTTTTGTCTAAATGTAGGTGGTTTATTATGTTATATTTGCTGTAATGAATTTCTGTTCAGTGGTAGTAAACGTTAAATCCCTGTTAAGTGAGCACAACTAATATACTGACGAAGTAAATGTATATTTGGGAAAAATTAAATTACATATTTGAGGATACGTGAGTTACGTATTTCTAGCTTGTATATACAAATAGTAGCTATGTACTGCTACAAGTAGGCTACACGGTATATTTTGCCACTTAGCTCAAATACACGGTAGCTGCGTAGTTTACAGTGGCGTAATCCTTACTTTACTGTAGACCATTTTTATAAACTGCTGCCAAAGAGCTGTTCAGATTAAGCAAATACCGTTTTAATGGGGTCCGGATTAATGAGAGTTTACATTTATTAGTTATAAGGTGCATAACGATAAACAAATCTACTTATATCCCGTACCTACATAAACATGTTAAAATCCCGAACATAATGTTTCGCAGGAATTTCTCGTTCCGTTCTACCGTGGTGACTCAGTACGTACAAGTAAAAGATAAGCGTGGAATGTGCGATATGTCTTGGTTAAATTTATCACTGACCTAGGTCAGCCGGTTAGTCATGAAAGGGGATCACAAAGATAGCCTCTGTTTAAAATTAAAAATTGCGACTGGATCTATCAAATGGAATTTGTTAAAACGATGGGTCACAACCCTACCTTTAAATTTGAAAAAAAAACTTAGTATCCAATATGACGGATCCAAAATGGTGGCCAAAAATTTATACCCGCTCAAAATGAAGTACATACTACTCTACAATGATCTGACGTGGTGCGGAGTTGATATCTTAAGTAATGTAGAACAAATTAGTGGGGAGGGGGGGCTCATTTAAATCTCACCCTGTATATTAAACACAGCTGTAATGTGCAACATTTCTTCGGTTTTCAAAAATTAAATAATTGTCGCAACGATAAGTTAAAATATGTGATTATTAACTTATTTTGACGAGACCCAAAGAAGTGAGTCGTCTTGTGCCCTATTAATTATGCAGTGTTAAATCATTGTGAAAATAGTAGCACGCCTACTGCAGTGCGACATACAAAGGACTGATCATTATGGTATTTTTAATATCGTATACATAACTGTCATATCACGCCATCTTTGGGCTATAGAAATTAATTTTACTATAACTGGTTGATCTTAGATACAGAAATCCAGGAGACCTAGAGAGAGAGTTTTTATTTACTAATAAAATGAAATATCTTGTATTGAACACGCCCCTCGTAATTAAGATTACGGTTACTTATAACAGTCAATCTATGCACATATCATGTGCACACCTCTAAACTAAACACTCAATAGTAAATTATTTTTCTAATATTATTAGGTATTTATTTGCAATTTTAAACTTTTCCAATCTCTGGTCTTAGATTTTTTCCTAAAAAACTTTAAAATAATTCCGGATGGTAGTTAAATGTTTTGTATTTATTTATTTTGTGATAACGTAATATATCAATCAGATTATATAAACATTCATTTTGCGTTGACTGTGTTATGTATCTATAATATGTACTTAACAAACAATAGATTACAGTGTGTCTACTCATTTAGTTCTACATCCTTCGCTTTGGACGCTGCGTTTCATCAATTCGTCTCTCAGTGAGTTTTTGTTTTTGATATCACATCCATTTAAACGCTTTCTTTAGAGATATTTTAGTTAGCTTCAGCTGTAATTTCTGTGATTGCTTGTACGCACAGTACAAAAGAAAAGTACGAAACCTTTGTACACACCTAATCTTAAGACAGTTATTACGAAATGGACTATTTAAGTGGATTTACTGGTTACGAAAGATTCCAGTTAAATTCGCACATTAAGAGAGTGTTGTATTATAGATATTGAATAAATATGTTATATATATTTCAGGCATTTTAAAATCTCAAGAGTAAGACATTCCTTAAACAAATTTGACATTCAATTTCTGCTGCATTTCAAGCATTTCAACTTATCGGTGGATACATTTATTTTTTTTTATTTTATCCTATAGTTTTAAACATGGAATTATCAACAAAAATCTACGTCACTATATTTTTAATCCATGTTTAAAATCAGGCTTGGGTTAACACTTGGGTTAAGTGTTTTACTTACCAATGCTTATGCTCAGTTAACGACACGAGAGTTAACCGTCAAATAGAAAGAAAATTAATGGTGAGGGTGATTTATTTTTTATACGCCATACAAATTTGGTGGGATAGAGTGTCCAAGGATATTTTAAACAGTAATAGACCTGGGCAAAATAAGTTTTATGATCCTATTAAGTAAATCCTGAATAAAAGATTAGATTTTATCTTGATGAGAATCTTTCAAAATAATACTTTTACAAATATATTAAACAACAACCATTTAACACTTCAAACTTTAGTTAGTTGCCTTTGCCTGTATGCTAAATACAAAAACGCACGAAAAATTAAACTAGATAAAAAATGGACACTTTAAATAGGGAAACCCCTTTATGAATAATCTCGTTGTGATTTATTATCCAATGACGGTTCAGAGTGTACGTGTTGTATGTGGTGAGTGGAGGGGGCAGGCAGGGTGTACACATAGCAGAGCAGTAGCGCCCAGACATCAGACAACAGGATGATGGCGCTGTGGCTGCTGGGTGCACTGCTGCTGAGCTGCTGGGCGCTGCTGCTGCTGCGACGACGGCTCATCTTCACCAGAGGCTTCAGGTTCCCAGGGCCCCGGGCTCTGCCGCTGCTAGGCAACTGTCACCTACTCATGGGCTCTCAGTCAGGTAGGGCTTACCGCAGCATATCACTACGACACAACCATCTATACTTGCCAATCAATTAGTCAAGTTAATTTGATGACCGGAATCTATGACTTTACTAAAAAAAATATCCGGTTAATTTGTATATCTTGGATATAAATTAATACTTAAAGCTCAATGTTTGGCATAGATCAATATTAATTGAAAAAAAACGTTGATCCACGGTTCCACTGCCTTCCTTTGGCAAATCGTTTGTTCTCGTTGTTAAAAATTGCCACCAACATAAAAAATATGGTTGTTATACGATAATATAATTTATATTTATTTCAAATATTTCATCTTACGTCATACAAATACATTATTTTAGTCTGTTTTTATCAAACGTTGGTGCGTCTAATATTGTAAGCGGTAATGTTGTTTCAACTAAATCAATAACATCACCATACGTCAAAGTGTTCAAATTCCTCTCCAATCAGCGTATTGCAGTATGTTAATACAAGGGATGCAATTGTTCAACCCTGAATATACACATGTACACTGTGTTGGGTCATAAAATCTGATTATGCCTTACTGTTGCACACGACTACATATCAAAACAACGTTTGATATAGCTAAGCATAGTCAAGAATATGAATTATTTAGATTTACTGTATTGTAAGAATAATAATCCGATAAAAACACACATCCATATACGAAATCTAACTGCCAGAAATGTATTTATTAGACAAGATATAAAGTAATTTAATTGATTGATAATGTACGTTTAGCCTAATCTAATTGTTGCTGTTGGCCTCGATTGGACTGTTATCGCGAAGAAAAACTCGACCAGATTGCAATTTATGAAGTAAATTTTCGTACATGTGTAGAAAGTTTGCGCTGAACAGTCGTAACACTATATGACGTGAAAGTTAATAATAATTTTCACTTTGCACCTTTCACAAGTATTGAATGAGCTACTTTACCTTGGCTTGTTGAAATAGACTTCAACATTAACAAACTATCAAGTTTCTTTTAGTTACATATTAATTTGTAAACTAAGCTGGATATATTTTATGCTTTTAGTTTTCAATAAAATTCCTCTTATAATAAGCAGAAAACTGCCAGAGCAAGCAGCGAATTATAAGCTGTCTTGTTGATTTAACTATTTCACACACTTGCATCCACAAGAAATATTTTTTTTTACTAAAAAATGCTTGGACTTATAAATTTAACAGATTTTGAACTACAAGTCCTCTCCCCAAACCCCTTCCTACAATCCCAGTAAATTTACTTAAGTCTTACCACAAACACTGCGTAGTAGCTTATATACTAAACTATCGAGGGATTCGCCAAAAAGTATATATTTAAAAATATTAAAATAGTCTCTAGTATGGCAACGAAACAAATAACGGTTGTTTGCATGCTAATAAGGGAAATGTACACAATGTAGATGGTATAGTTTAGGCTAACGTAACCTACTTTAGGGATGCTGACGGCTTTTTACTAACTAATTGATTCAAATTTATAATAGATCATCAGCTTTACTGTCTATTCATCTTTGATCAAAATCATCTAACTAGATTTTGACAATCCGTCGTAGAATAATGTTACCCCATTACAGAAATGAAAATGTGTCATTGAACATACTCTAATATGAAGGCCTAGAGGTTCAATATCAATTTGGTAGCGTTCACGTTTTGGCTAAGCCGAGTATCAGTGAAATTATGTTTGCTTTTGCAACGCTTTGCTGACGGGATTTAATTCTGACATTTAATTAAATATCAGCTTAATTTAAATACTAATTAATTTTATTCTCTAAAGCAGTTGATCTCCTCAGCAGATAAAGCTTACATTGTATTTCTATGTAGTACCGTGTTTCATAGACAGACTATAGGCTATAACTTGTTAACATTGTAAGCAACTGCGTGGTTGTTCTTGGCTGTAGCAGTGACTTCTAAGTAATACCGAATGAGATATTGCCCTGCATTGCATATGCCTAGGTGAGACTAGTCTTTAACTGTTATTTATTAGGTTATTTATTATATCTATATATTTATTATCCCTACTTTAAACCTGTTTATATTGACGAGTAGTGGTCAGAAATAGATTTGATAAGGAAAGATAACGGGTTTTAAATAATACAATAATACTGATTAGTATGTGTATTTAACTCATTCATATAAAGTACTTTGGAATTGATGTTATTGAGTAGGATGGTAAATGGTAAATGGTAACTTCGAAAAAGTATTGTTTAGATAAATAATCAGCTTAAATATCACATGGTTCGATCTGTATATACCTGACACCTATAAATTGGAAACATTTTCTGTGTTAGATTAAAAAATGTTTGTTTCATTGTAATAAACTCTCTTTTTACATCTTAGTTTGTCACTATATATTGAAGTGTAAATGAATAGATCATAAATAAATCTACGGACCAGTAAAGTACAGTAAAAGCACCATAGAGGATAAAAGTCTTTACGATTACATCCTTGCTCGCAATTACATCGAATACTGACGATATATATTTATTCATATACTACGAGGGCTTGGAATGTTCTATGGGGTTTTCATATCTAGTATCTCTATTGAAACACTTGTTAGCTTCAGAGATATACTGGTATGGATATAATATCGTACTACAAAAGTAAAACGAAAATGACTCTTACTAAGATTTTAGCACTATTACCTTCTGGGATTGAAGTATACTGATATACTTAATACCCCCGCCGCAGCAAACCTGCCGACTAAGCGAATTTCCATTTGTCTGAATTGATTTTCAGTTAAATATATTTTAATAACATTAGGTTTAACGAGTACCTAGGTTTGCTGCTACAAGAAAACTAATAAAGTGTGTTTTTGAGTAAAATATTGATAGCTTAGTACAAAATAAATAAATTTGCCAAGTTTGATCAAAATATATCCATAAACAAGCAAACTACAACATTTGACAATATTCTCCATAAGAATAACATGGGAATTTTAAATTTACAATTTTTTAAATTTTCTCCGTTACTAATAATCGAACAAAAATTCTTTTATATACTAGTTTTTTTGTTTTTTTAAGCTCTTTAAAAAGGTCTAAAGAGAAATCCGGAAATTCTGTGTTTTGAGGGTCAAAAGTAAGAAAACCCATTTTTTACCCCATAAAACCCCCCGTAAAGCCCCGTTCCCATGGTCCGATCGTGCTGGTTCGCGAACTCATTCAAGTTTATCCCGCTTTACACCTTTAAACCAAATTTCATCAAAATCGGACAAAAATTACTCAAGTTATCGCGTTCACGGACGTATATATATATATATATATATTTTGTTATTGTATACATCAATGAGGGCTACTTTAAATGTTACTAAGCAAATCAAAATACCACAGTACCCTAAAAACATATTTAACTAACGTAACCTACTTTCAAGATTTAGGGATGCTGACGGCTTTTTACTGACTAATTGATTCAACTTTATAATAGATCATAAAAAATAACCAATAAAATGAATGCAGAAGCAGTTCAAAGTAAATCGGTCCCGGGTCTAGGTCTTACCGTGCCACCTACGGTAATAGCTACTTCCCTATAGGGAAATTCGCTAAAATGTCGTACTTACAACGATTGTATCTGAGTTGGAAAATAACCAATTTATTTTAAGATGTTGCATATGACAATGCATGGACTTGTCTTGCATGGAATTTCGTCCTCACAAAATCTTATTATTTTATGTTGCATCCATAATAAATTTTAAAAAAATAATGTTTTTAGGGTACTGTGGTATTTTGATTTGCTTAGTAATATATAGGGTGTCCCACGAAGGGGTTTAAACGTTTGATTTTATATTACGTGACCATTCATGCACCGAACTTTTTTAAACTTTACACAGTTTACAAAGTAGGTTCTAAAAATATTCTGGAAAAATTTCAACTCCATAACCTTAGAAGAAACAAAATGGCGGCATATTGAAAAATGTACTAATATGCTTTCTATAAAAACTACTTTCATGATTTATTATCTGATTTGTTTAGTATGTTGCGGTTCTAACGCCCATTGTTGAAGAACAGCTGTTTGATTGTAAAATGAGCTTTAAATGAACAGGTTCCACGGTACCAGAAATGAATCAAGCAATCTTTCAACAAGATGGTGCACCACCTCATTTCGCAAATCCTGTCAAGCAATTACTAAATGGCAACCTTCATGGCCGTTGGATTGGTCGTGGAATAATGATTTTTTAGATTGGCCACCCCAATCACCTGATTTAACTGTTTGCGACAGCTTTTTATGGGGTTTCTTGAAGGAACAAGTTTATACCCATAGCTTCAATAATGATGAGGAACTAAAATGATCAATAGAAGAGGAACTTCTCCGGATACCGCAGGGTTTCTTTGTAAGAGCTTACGAATAAATTGTTACGCACCGTTATCAGTGTGTTGATGTGGATGGGTTACAGTTTGAATAATTTTGGACATTAAGGTTTTCCATTAGGCTATGTACTAGTTTTTTTATTTTTTATTTAGGCCTAAGTCATATTGCCCTGGAAAGTAACAATAAAAATATTTTATAAAACCAAAAATACCTTCTTTAATGTTTTCTAAAGCATCGTTTTTCAATATGCCACCATTTTGTTTCAACTAAGGTAAGGGAGTTGAAATTTTTCCAGAATATTTTTATATCCTACTTCTTAAACTGTGTAAAGTTTAAAAAAGTTCGATGCATGAATGGGCACGTAATATAAAATCAAACGTTTAAACCCCTTCGTGGGACACCCCGTATATATATATATATATATATAAGTCTATATATATATATATACATATATAAAAATTTGAACGAATGGTGTTTTTGGCCTCTGGGGACATCAAAATGAAAAAGTAAATCGGTCCCGGGTCTAGGTCTTACCGTGCCACCTACGGTAATAGCTACTTCCCTATAGGGAAATTCGCTAAAATGTCGTACTTACAACGATTGTATCTGTGTAGCCAAGTAGTTTTAATACACGTCTTTTAAAGAAGCCATATAATAAAACAGTTGCAGGCACATACGTAAAAGTGCAAATTTCATTTCTCTGGATATTTAGAAATACCCACACCACTACATCATATTGCAGTTGAAAGGTTACAGAAGGTTTACCGTTTTGTAGTGCTGAGTAAAGCTAAATAACTCAGAAAGTGAGCTCTATGATAAGGGAATCAATAACATACAGCATAAATAAAACATTCTCAACAGTAACTGATGCCAAAGTAAAAAGGAAAAATTAAAAACAAATCTCGAAAACCATTTAAGCTGGCACAATCGGTCAATTGTGATTACAAATATAAAACTAGCAAATTAGGGCAGTGTGAAGCGTCGGAAGTTTGAATTTTGACCTTGACAATAACTATATTTAGGTCAAGGTCACGGGCTGGCCGAGACCCTCTACAGCAACAACCGCACGTGGGCTTAGCCTTACACTGACAAATAATAAATACTGAGAAGTATACGTTACAATTACAAAACTAGTAATAGTTGAAGTGAACATACCTTATGTAATTATTAAGTATTTTTGTCGTGAAACCCTGGAGTTGGAAAATAACCAATTTATTTTAAGATGTTGCATATGACAATGCATGGACTTGTCTTGCATGGAATTTCGTCCTCACAAAATCTTATTATTTTATGTTGCATCCATAATAATCTATTTGATAAGAGATCAGTTTTTTTCAAACTTCAAAACATCCTCAGTATGGAACACTAACCATAATAAATCTATTTTTTTTCGACACTGCTCAACTGTTACAGAAGCTTTGGGTTTTCTTTATCTTAATAAATCGCAATAATTTGGAAAGTGCACTCCTCGACAAGGAAATCGCAGTTGAGGAAAACATTCTTGAAAACCAACTGATTCCAAAGTTGGTGTCTCAAAAAAACATGTTTGGCACTGGATAACTATTAACTAGGTAAACCAGCTTTAACCATAATCTAATAAATCCAGTAGTGCAAGTTGTCTCATGTTTAATTTACTTGGGATACGAGTTGACCTAGCCCAATATACTTTGTATTGCGCCTGCTAACGAGATACCGGATTTCTTTGACTTACAAAGATTAAACTACGTGATATGCATAGTGTATATTATGACTCTGGTTATCATTGAGTTGAGAGTTGATATCTAGCATGGTTCATTTCACAAACCCACGAAACAAGCAATACATTTAAGCATTCCACTTATTGTTCAATTTTATACTATATGGTGTGATGGGATCTTCCAGTTTGCATTCAGGTAACAGATTACCTAGACCAACATATGCTGCAGTTCGTACTGCAAAGCTAGTTAACGAGATGTAGGTTTTGTTCACTCAGAGTAGGGAGCTGAATCGTACTTAGTTAGAGTTAAGTTGTACGTATTACACACCACATTACCAATGTTGTAGGACGCATTTTACCTTACGTCTTCGCCAGCAGTATCAGCGACAGCAGACGAGCACACGTGGTGCTAACCTCACACACCCACACACTCGCACACACACACACAAGCTGTGACCTCCAGGCCGACCACGTGCTCTGACACTGCGACATGGTCAGATATTTGCTAAAACCATGGTCGGAAGCAAATGTTACTATTCAGTCCCTCGAAAATGTATAAAATGTAATGTTGGAATTTGTAACAGAAAATGTGTTAGCCAGATAACGGCAATTCCAATAGAAATAGTGCGGAGAGGGACAAAAACAACATGTACAGGAAATAATACCAAGTGTAACTGATCAGTTGATTATTTTGTTTATCTTGCTCCGTTAACAGCGCACAAGGGGCTATATGTTGTTAGACGCTTGCGGTTCCTCTCTCAGCTTAACTGGTAAGTAATTGACTGCAAATACTTATCAGCTTTCATAGGAAACCACGTGCCACGAAGCGGCTAGACAGTTGGCGATATTGTTCGCAGAAGCAGTTCAAAGAGTCTTGACTGCGTCTCCGTCTGATAAGCGGTATCACTATGGGTCTGACACTGATGTGTATGTTGCTTTGTCCCAGATTTCTTCCGACTGTGCTGGAGGCTCGGAGAGGCCAACCCCGGGGGAGTGTTCCAGCTATGGGTGGGGATGCGCCCCTTCGTCTTCCTCTACAAGAGTCCCATTATGCGGGTGAGTCTAGGCTTACACGGTGATATCACGGTAATGCTATCACTTATGTAAGCTCACGATTAAAGCCAAACTAAGGATTTATTTCAAGATTTCGGAATATCTCTTGAAATAAAATGAAACTCGGGCGAACCTTTTCTGATGATGGCCATGAATCTATACTTATTTAATACGCAAGCAGGTTTTTTTGTGACAATTACTCCTCCGAAACTACTGAACCGATTTACATTGTAAATATAACTGTTATTCGTTTTGAAACAACTTCTGTAATACTTTGCAATTGCTCGAATTCGAGCAACATGTACACTAGTTTAATTTAAATAACAACTAGAGTTACATCACCACATTATGTACAGAACTTGTTTAAACGGAAACGTAAGTTGTAACATTTCAGTTGGACAAAACACAACTGTGAACTCATTATCTCCTTTTTAAGAAAAACACTCATGGTCATTTGCTACGTGATCAAAACTCACGAACAAGTCGTACGAATAGTACTATTACGTGTTACTCGACCCTTGTACTGATTGTTTACACTGACTGCTAGGTGTGTAGTTAATCACTGGCGCCACAACTATGTATGGCGGCTTCATGTCAACTTAATCGATCTCAATGCTATGTTATTATACCCAGCCAAGGCTTTGAAATAAATAAAAATTCTTCTCATATTGATGCGTATATAATTATAGTGCAACGCTACACATTGAATCTAAGAGAGAGTTTAGAAACTTTATCGTGCATTTTTTACAACGAAAGAACAAGTAAAAAGGTTTTATAAGAAATCGTCAATATACACTATTGGCCAGGAGATATTTATCAACTACGCATCAATCATGCGAGGTATGTTTTGTCTCTGGTATGAACCAGTTGGACTATTTTGGGTGTGCTTTACTTTACTTTACAGCAAAGTAGTTAATATGTACATTTGATTTATACTTCCTTAAATGATAAATAAATAAAAAAAAAACTATTTATACCAAGCTATTGTTTGTTCTTTTGAAAATATAAACAACTCGGTGTCAATATATCAAACGTTTTCAATATCCTTATACGAGAAAGCAAGGTATGTCCCAAAGCACCACACTTACGTGGTGTATAAAAAGACTACGATACGAGTATCTAAATTGGCCCCAGCGGGATCGCCGGCTAAGCATATTCTACTTGGGCTTCGTATTGCAAGAAAATAATTTTTCTTATTCACTAACAACACTGATTATTCTATTTTTGAGTATGTCAATATACTGTACACCATTGATTATGTTGATAATTTTAATTCAAGAGTCTGAACACACTTTATAGTAACATAGAAACATATAAGGTTATTATATTGAAAATAACGATAGTTAATACTTTAATACTTTAATAATTTACCTAACACTCTAATACTTTCTTTGAAAAATGACGACCATACGAATGTAGGTATTTTAAGCCAAGTATGAATGGAGATCAGTGTAGGATGAGTGGCGCGATCTTGCAATTATTATCAATTGTGATTAATCATTACTTTAAAAAGCGTTAAAATATTGCTTGGAGTAGTAAATGGAAACGGCTGACCCTTAACCGACAACTTACTTACAACTTAACGACAACTTACTGAGTAAGGTGAGGCATCTTACAGGCTCGGTTTCAATGCAATACCACAATACTAATCGAAGTGCGCATGAAATTGAGCCAAAATTACATTGAGTAATTAGTTTCCAAAAGTTATTTGATAGTTTATGGACCGTGTATTGGAGAGCAAGATATACTATTGAAGTGTATAGAGAGTATATTCTGCGATTCCAAGGCTCGCCTACAGCACTAGATGTAATTAGAAGATTGCAACTATGTAGATGTGTAAGATCTAATAGCTTGTTGCTGCTGCGTTGCAATTAACCTATTGATGTTTATCATTATTGTCTAGAGTAACGAGAGTTATTATCGTATAATAACCAAGGAATACAGATTTATTGTTCGTGTGTGTCATAGTTAACTTACTAAATCTGTAACGATCAACATTTGTGCTATAAATGATTAAGTCAAATAAAATGTAATAAACAGTCAGATCACACCTTAATTGTCGTTTAACGTTGAAACATTATTTAGCAGAACAATTTGTAATATTTTAGGCTTTAACTTTTAGAAAAAATAAGCAATTGTTTTTTTTATTTTAATATACTTACACCATTGATTATGGTGATCATTTTAACTCAAGAGTCTGAACACACTTTACATAAAATACAAACATATAAGGTTATATTGAAAATGAGGAGCGTTATTCTCACTGTCATAATATTTCTCTAAGAAAAATACATATTTATATAATAAAAAATAAAAAATAAAATAAAATAAATATTTGATATATTCAAAGAAAATATGTTTAACATCTGTAAGCAGAGATATTTTTATGTTCAGAAGTAATTCTTACATACCTTTAAAAATCTATTTTGCGTATTAGTTTGTTATTTTGTAAAATGTTTAGTTTGTAAAGAAACTTTAATAATAATATGCATTTGGCGTAGAAAATATTTATTTAGAAAAATGTCAGTAATGAGTGTTGCCATTTTCACTTCCTAAAGAATTAATATTTCAAATAAAGTATATACTGAAGTGTAATAATATGAATAAGCAAATTTAAAATATAACAGTTGTCTAATAAAAAAGTCGACAGAGACGGTAGGAATTACACATATTTAGGGTGTCCTGTTAATAAGTACAAACAATTTAGGAATAGGTGAAATGAGTCAAAATAAAACTAAACTAAAAATAAACATTCTGTTAGCGAGGTATTGGTAGTTTGTTTGTGTTTTAAATATAATGATATTTTCATGAAATGGTATACGATAACCTATTTAAGAACACATTATCATTTACACGTGTTTTAATGTGTTTTAATTAATGGGGAGCGAGTGGTTAGAGTGCGAGTCTTCGGTCCCGGGTTCAAGTCCCGCAAAATCACCAATGGATTTTATCTAAGTGATAATGCCGCAACCTCTAGGTCTAGCTTGAAGTAATGTGAAAAACAATCCCAGGCTCGTGCCTCGCGTCCTAGGACAAAAATGTGTTTTAATGGAGGCTATTTACATTTTTGCAACTTATATTGGTTGGTTGACTAATTTTATGAAAAATTCCATAAGAACACTTTTATTTGGTGTTTAAAATACCTATCAAACAGCACTAAGTTAAAAATCTATTAATAAACACCTTAAAAACTAGCTTTTTAGCCGTAAAGGCACAGACTATAGAATATATAATGTTTACTCTACAAAATGAGCTCAAGTAGCCATTTTCATCTTATTTTGAGCCTAAAAATTGAGATTTCTCAGCAGTTAATAATTCAACCATTTTAAACGTGGTAATTTTTATAAAAGAAATGTTAAATGCTAAATAAAAACTCTTATGAAATTTGTCAACAAATTAGCCATGATTTAGTAGTGTATATTAGAGCAATTAAAAAAGCAAACATTTTGAAAAGAAATAAAAATTCAGAATAATATATTCCAAATAGCTTACAGCGTTAAAAAATTATAATTATACACCAAATTTCATAAATATATATCCTTAATAGTTTTTAAGAGATGAATTTTAAACATAAAGAACAAAATGCAGACATCTCACTATCAAGTTGTTTTTAGGGACATTTTTTTATTAGTTTTAGTTTTATTTTAACCGAAGTAACCTATTAATACATTATTCGTTCTTACTTTTGGGTCACCCTGTACGGTGTACACTCTTAAATTATGCCTTGTTCGACATTGCTACAAACTAAATAAAACCTACTCATTATAGAAAAGTCAATATTTGTTTGATGCTATCGGATGAAAGTTTCAAAACAACGACTGTGATATATAATCAAGAACTGAAAGGTTTACATAAAAAACTAGAACTTTGCTTTACATAAAAAGATTTCCGTTCGAAACATTTTATCAGGCTAATAAAACAACGTCAAAGAAACTAAGTAAACTTGTGGAGGGAGGGGGGTTTACTTAATGTTTTGTAAGAGTTTGTCTAGACAAAGTAGTGATACAGCTTCACAAAGGGTACAGGACAATCAAATATTTACGCTTAAACCTACCATGCAAACGTGGTTAATTCGTAATTAGAGAAGAGTTCTCAAAATACAACAAATAGCAAGCTACTTAAGTTATTGCCAAATAGTAGCAATGAAAATAAAATATATTATGGTTACTGTTTTGTAAATGTAAACCTTTAGAGTAGGAGAAAATGTTTTAATGTTTTTGTTCGTGGTGTTATAAGGGTTACTTATAGTTTTCTACTGAACTCCACAAAATATTGATTATAGGCCTACTCTGATTACTATATCCATACAATACATGGCAAACCCCGAACAAATTATTTCACAGAGGTTGGCTGTATTTGGCCCAGGTAGTATCACGATCATTATGAATAGTACAGAATGCAAAAGAAGTACAGATGTCAGTGTAGTCACAAAAATGTAACAGTGTACTGTTATGTCATTTTTGACCTCTTTTCTTTCATTGGACATTTCACGTACACCCTTGATAGATTTTCAATCCATAAATAAGTGGGGAATTTTTAACGTGCAGCACAAACAATTTTAGAATTTCTTACAAAGAACGTAACAGGGCTCGTTAAACGTCCTAGCACTATAAAGGGGAGTGAATGTGTAGAAAAATAGTAGTTTATCAACACGTGTGTGAGAAAGATGTGGAAATATTAGTCTACCTCGTGGTTCAGTGTTTAACTATAAGAATAGGTCCTGACGAATAAGGGTTTTTTTATTTTCCACACCCGCACTGAACAGCTGTCAGATTTGTTGCACTTGAGAATCGACATAGATTGAGGGCACAGTAGTGTGCAAAAACTCTCAACTGAGACCTAGAATTACATCGAACTATTAACCCTCACTTACCCGCACGAGATCTGTCTGGGCGCTGCATTATTTTGCAGTAAATTGCAGTTGCAGTTGTCAAAACGAGCATTGCTTAGCCAAGGCCGCCAGACGTCTGGCCCTGGTGTAGGTCGGGGTCGGGCCGATGCACTTGCAACTGCAGCAGTGAGCTGCGACCGATGTAGTCGATATTGATATCCAACCGCCTCTACTTATCGTTATCAACATTATTTTGATTATTAATCATTTTCACTATTGCTTATTTTCTTACACGTAGTCCAATAAAGTATACTCGTAAATCATCTCAACCGGTCTGAGACAAACATTTAACATCTGCTCTTTAATTTTGAAACTGCCTGTAGATTCTTTGGGGTTTACGTGTGGCTGAAGTCTTCATTATTTTTTTACTGCATAGGCCTACTTACTTATATAAACTATTGTATTATGAAGTAAAGTAATCATTTTTACTTATAAGTCAGACCTAAGTATTAATAATGCATATTATCAAAGAATTTACATACTCGTTGGGATTTATAACGATAATTTATCGTTATATTTCACAACTAACTAGTGAAAAAATATTCTACAGGTTAGGTAGGTCCAGGTCATAATATAAAGGGATAGAGTAAAGCCCAATTGAAGAGGCATACCTAGCAATAATAATTTTAATAGCTTTGTGTTGGCAAAATCCTGTAGAAACTGTACGGTATCTATGAATTAATAGGTTGATATGTTTTAATAATTCTAGAAACTATTTAAACAGCACAAAGTAAACGATAATTTAATGTCCCCTCTATTTTTCCCCCTTGAATAAAAGTCGGTAAGTTGCGTCTAAAACTTGCTAAAACCCATACATAAAAGCTTTCTTGTTAAATGTTGTGTTGTTAAATGTTACATTTATCGGTTTACGAAAAAATCCCATCTTATGTTAAAAATTTTAATAGCTTGCCTGACAATTAAAAAAATATAATTAATAATTTTAATTCATTTAAAAAATGTTTTTAATTATTCCTCACCAACAGACCCTTGTATAAATTAGAAGATTTTTTCCAACATCGTGAAATTTGATTTTTTGATAGTAACAATATTCTCTGTAAGTAGTCTTAAGTTTAATATTGTGTTTTTATAACTGACTCCATTCTGTAAAAAATGTGCAATATGAATAAAGTTATTTTGATTGATTGATTGATTGATTGTTGTTTGTTGATAAATGGTCGTTTCATTAATTAACTGGTGTGTCTTTTTAGCCTTTGGTAACATCGTCAACTCACTTGGAGAAGAATTTCGAGTATACACTGACACAAGGATGGCTCGGGAACGGACTTATAACTAGCAAAGGTGAGTGACAGCTAATGTTGGGGTTTGGTTTGCATCTAAACTATGGCCATGTAGACAGTTTTTATTAAAATAAAACTTTTGCATCCTTATATCATCTAATCTTACTTAAAAATCTTGATGCATTACAGCTTTGTATATAAGTATACAGAACTTACATGTGCTATTCAAATTATTAGAATTAAAATCGTATTTATTTAAAATCCATATTTTTTAGCCCCTGAGCTGATCTTGTGACTAAATCAATAAATAAGGTAACCTTCGTCAATCAGCTCATAGAAGTTGTAACATTGTTACGGCCGTTTCAGCATATCCATGCCATCATCAGACGTTCAGCCTTAGTGGCGTCGTTAATATACAAAAACACAAACTGTCACACGCGACGTACACATACATAAACATAAACGGGGGTTTTTGCCTGTATTAAGTAAGGTTTATTTATTGATTTAGCGTATTTATTTGTTTCAAGAATTACCATGACAAACAAACGTGTTATGCATATGGTCCAAAATGTGACTAGTGGATTAATAGTGTTGATGTATATTCGTATTAGAATGATTTCATTGATAGCCTTGATAATAATTAAATACATTGTATGTACTGACGTAATTCATACTCAAATAAATTATTTTTGGACTTAGATCCGTAATGAATTTTCAAGAACAATTGGTACAGCATTACAATGGAACAGAAACATTTGCAGTAACTCTTGTTTAGGTTCAGTTGAATGATCTGTAGATCCCTTGAGTAATTTTGGGGCGCTTAGAGCCATTGTTGGCCTTCTATTAACGCTGTATGTACTTGAATACTTTAAATGAAATGGTGACCATACGTAGTTAGCAGTTAGGTAGTTTAGTATGAATGAAGATGAGTGTAGGGTGAGTGGCGTGATCTTGTAGTCTTGATATTGACAAAGGCCGACATGATATACTCAACAATAATTCACAACTTATGTCAGTATTTTTGAAGCTGAATCTTTGATAGCAACTATTTCTACAAAAAGAACACGTATTAAATCAAATGACGTCAAAGCTCTGGCACATTCCGGGTTTTTACGTGAATTTAATACATTTTTTTATATAGGATACAGCGCGGTTGAATTACACCCCACTTGTAGTTGTGCATATGTTATGCCTAAAGCAGGTAAAAGCATTGATAACACTGGTGTGATGTTGTATGAGAATATATGCTAGCTGGACAAGCCTTATAAACCTTTTACTAAAAGTTAGTGGAATAATACACTTCAATATGTTATAAAAAATAATGTGTAAATGTTAAACCTAATCGATTTTGTATTATAAATTATTATGTACGAAAATTGGGTCTTATTATGTACGTATTTGTCTGATGGTTTTATCAATACATTATACCACAGAAGTCTAGAATGGGTCTAAAGTAGTACTCATCCAGTTATCTTGTCAACAACCATAATGTCCAATGAGTAAACATTGTGTTAAAAAAACCATAACATACATTTCTTGTTTAAAGAAAAATCCCATTAGTAAAATATAATTAAAATCAAATAAAAACACCTAGGGATACGTAGTGATTTAGTATTTAGGATGTCATTCTTAGATAAATAAATATCTGATTTGCTCAGTACATTATTAGGAAAACTTAACTTAGCACGGAATAGTTTCTCGGTCCTTCTCAATTTTACAGAACTCTTTTACACAAGGAGAACCTAGATGTTTGAGGAAATTCGGGAATTCAATGACGCAAATACGTGACAGTAATGCATTTTTGTTTTAATAACAAATTATTAGACAGCCTTTATCATAAATGTTATTTTTCATCCATCCCAAGTACTCGTAGTTTATAAATAGAGATGGGCCGATTCCTGAATTGGTCGATTCCGATACCGATTCCGATTCTACAACTTTGGTTTCGATTCTCGATTCCGCACTCGATACCGATACCTGTTAAAAATTCATTTAATAACACATATAATAACTTATGAACTTATGAAAAAGCCTAACTTTATTTAATCTTTAAATACAATAAGATAACTGCATTGAATTTATTAAGGTTACATAGATTTGGTTAGCCAAAAAGGAAAAATAAGATAGGGCTATTTCAAGAAGACATAAATTTAACATATTTTATTAAATTAATAATTAATTGATAATAATAATTAATTGAGCACAATCACCAATTTAGGTACCAGTAGGCCTAAAATGTTCACAGAGTTTTTTTTTCATAAGAATTCATAATTCCTACATCTAGGCCTAGGCCTACAATGAATGTTCCATATTGCTTGAGTTATAAACTCAAAGTCATCTTCAAAATTGTCATCATCAATATCACTTAAATTACTTAAAGAATCATATAAAAAAGTCATGGAGTTCGTCACATCACTAGAACGGAGTCGGAGATCATATCCATTTTGAACAACTCAAACTCACTATGCACGCACAGAAAACAAAACAAACAACAAAAAACCAAAACATAGGTTAAACAATTCATTTGCCATTTGCAAACTCGTGACAGCTGTTTCAGTTCAGTCATAGAGAAACAACATAAAAAAACCGATAAAAATACATCGCTAAATGGCTTTCTACAATAGTCACCATGAAGCCCTGAATTAGCTGAACAGTTCGTGGGGTCTCATATCTTATAATGTCATAGCTTATAATCGTGAATTTGTTCCATAGCTTATAATCAGTTATAAGCTATGCCACACTTTCACAAAAAATTATAAGCTATGCCACAATTTGGAGTTAGAAAATGCTAGTTAAACCATTGACTATATACACCTTATGTGTATTCTATGTATATATTAAATGCTTGTACCATCTGGCAACATTGCCTTTGATCTGACAACATGGTGGCAACTAGAGTTCTGATAGGCCTAGTTGTCTTGTCTTGTCACTGTTGTCAAATGAACACAGCTCGTCGTACCCATTGCTACTCGTTCTGAAATGCAATGGCAATCTATTTTGGATGATAAAAAACTATTACCAATGTGAGATAATGAACTTGGAATTATTTATATTAGCTGACTTCAGAGTATTTCAAATAAACTATGATGTGCCACTCTTTACAACCTTCAATGTCTTTAGCATTATTAATTAACCTCACTTTTCAGAATCGGTATCGAGTACAATGAAGCAAAGTATCGAGTATCGGCGATTCTTCGATACCACTGGTATCGAAGGTATCGAGGTATCGAGAATCGGAATCGGCCCATCCCTATTTATAAACAAATTATACTACTGTATTTTATATTTAAAGGTAATGTACAAATAATATGTACAATTGCTTACAACTATAAGAATAACAATCTAAGTATGAGACAATGTAAAAACCAAAATGAAATAATATTATCATATACCTCATTCTTTTGATATGAACTTTTCATATATCTCGATATGGTGAGACATATTTCAAAAGCTTTAGTAGAACTATTGAAACATTTGTTAATTTATAGATTAAAATAATGTCATGCAAATTTTGTTTCATTCACAAAGCTATAATAATCTATAAAATTAAAATATTTTACAATAAACCAAGTTACATGAAGGTCAAACATATATTAGGTTGCAGCCATGTATGATCCGGTAATTAACGTTATTGTACTCTGTGACAGGTGAAATAATTGGGTGTCATTTGAACTAGATCAGTTATTAGTGAAGCCACTTTACTGTTTGTGCTCACATGCAATTCGTGTTTCTATCAATGAGTCCTTCTTTGTTTGTGATATTGTTGTAGTTCTGGGAGAAAATATTTTCAAGCATAGAACACGTTGCAAATAAAACAATACAACCATTGTTATTATTAATTAATAATGGTAATAATAATTAACCACGATTATTAATTGATAATATAGAATCGATAGGTAACTATCAATAAATTGGAGCAATGCGTTTGGAAAAGAACTGCATAGAAATCCATATGTAAATCCCAAAGTACACATAAACTTTTGAGGAAAAAAAAATCACACCCCCATAAACCATACTTAAAATGTTCGTCATGACGATAAACCTTGCGCAAAACTATCCATTATTTATTGCCCTTTAAGGTCGTAATTCCTTTCTAAAAGGAACTTTTCATATACCTAATCTAAAAAATACCTCAGCTGTGTTTGTTTGTAATTCTTTCAATTTATAACCTTATTAAAATCAGGTGTGATTATTTGTTTGTATTACTGTATTCTGTTTTGTTTATTTCAATTTAACTTAAACAAGCAATAGTTTTTTCCTACAGTTACCTAACAATGTACATGTTCTCTCACTGATTTGAGAAAGCAAAGTGGCCAATTCGCTCATCAGTGGGACAATGTTAACATTGTCTCACTCTAATTACTTTGTCTCACTCCAGATTTGGAACGTAAAGGCACGAAATAGTGAGCACGTAGCATGCAGGCAACGTCGTATGCGCGCGAAATACGTTGGCAGCACTGGCTGTAAATCAGCTGGTCAGCTGTTGTTGTTGTATTTGTCACTTCACATTAAATGTTATATTAAAAGTTCACTTCTGTGTAAAAATAGGTTATGTTTCTTCACCAATTTATTTGTTTTATAACTGTGTTTTTGTAACTGTAGGAAAAGTATAATGTGCAACTCGAGTTCAAAGTACAATTGCCTCACTCGAGAAACCATTCCTCACTCGCCTACGGCTCGTGAGTAAGGATTTCTCTCGAGTGAGTCAATTGCTAACTTTTCTCACTAGTTGCACAAATAACTATATTAATACTTATGAAGTCAAACGGGTGAAGACCGTGGGTAACAGCTAGTTTATATAAACTCTAATTCAGGGTAACTTATTAATAAGTATTAATAAAAACGTTCATATTTAATTAATACCTATACTACAATATGAGTAACTTGTAAGCACAATGATTTCAAAAATGGCTCCTATGATTTTCTCCAATTTGTTGTTCTCCAATTGTTGTCTCAGTTTTAGGCTAAAAACCATATCCATTCTAGGCTCTGTTCTGGGAAATTAGTTTTTCGTTAAAAACTTAAAATTAAATTTCAATACTTTTAACATTGGTCTTATGAATTGTCAAGTAGCTATGGCAGTTTTAAGAAAATGTAAATAAATTAATTGTAACATATGCTTGTAACAAATCATCTAAAGCACAGAAGCTAATTACTATATACAGTACAAAAGAATAGGACATTCCAACGAATACTATTTAGCATTGATTATAAATACACTTGGGGGTTATTAATAAGTAAGGGATGAATACGATTATTCTAAAACGTAGAGTCTTTTACCGCAAAACAATATACACTACGCTAATATTGAATTCAACTCAAGAAAAAGAGACGAAAGTTTTGTAGTTTTCGACGATGCGCTGCCGGAATGGGTGAGCTATTTATGAGACAATCGTCTAGGGGGGCTGTTTGTATGATTCCACGGATTATAAATTAGAAACGGGAAGGATCATAAACATAAACAATAATGACCCGAAAATTAACATGTTTGTAGGCCTATTATTTTTTCAATGCAACTGTCAAAAAGCGTCCAAAACAGATGTATGGATAGTAGTATTAGATTCCATCCAGTGACGTCATTCTTTTATGTTTTTGACCCATACTGTGAGAACATATAATATTATGGAAATGTGTGTTAAGTAAATTAAGAAATAAGAGGGAACGTCTATAAGAGAAATCGGCTTTACAACTAAATTAAACATGGACAATTTTAAAATTAAGATGCTTTACACATGAAACAAGTAAGTTTAAGGGGTTTTGATGTGTTGATAGGTTAACTAGAGTTATAATGTTTTTATTTGAACACGTTTGTTTTATTTAATTTAATTCTAGATGTGATTCAATTTACATTGATAGCCGAAAAGAGTGTTTATTTGCAGGTTTTACTAACTATTTTGCCGTTTTTATGTTTACACCCTATTTCTAAGAGTAGATTCGTCAGTGGAATTCATTAGTTTTGAATAAAAATTACATTTGATTAGGCCTAGAACAAAACTTTACGATGCGTCTAACGGCTTGGTCAATTAATTGGTGGAGAGAATACCATGTTAAATATAGGCCAATAAACAATATATTATGAGATTAACTAAGTTATTGTAGCATAAAATATTATACAACGGCTCAGCTTTAAAACACGACAATACTGCAAGTTAATGTTACTATTATTAAACGCAGACTTTGTATATTTGGTATTTCTTTTACGTGTCAGTAATTCAAGTTTACTTAGGCCTACGGTTTTTAATGACTAGAGACTGCAAAGGTCGTGCAAAAAATTTCCTGAAAATAGCATTAATACTTGAGCATGAAAACTGTTATTTGTACAATTTGTTTTATTACATATTTTAGACTGTATTAATCAAATCAAATCCATTTATTGCCATCAAAATTAAATACAAGTATAGCAATGTCATACAGTTATACTTTGTAATATCATGGATATTGTAGATACTGTATTAAGTAGGCAGTACATTCATATTTTTTTACGTCTCGAACAAATTAAACACTACGAGCTATGCTCGGTCCCCTGGTACTTTACTTTGAACTTCATCTCAATAATTTATTCGTTTGGTTATCACAATATTGTATGTAAATACCACTGACTATTTAATTGGAGAATTTGCAGATTAATTCACAATTCCAAATATATGCAAGATGTAAGCTTTTTCTTTTATTTCTAACATCCTCCCGGAGCTTTCTCTTACACATGTCATGTGACTGTTTTTTACTGTTATGTATTCTTACTCATTCTTGTGTTTACATTGCAGGAGAAGTGTGGCACAAGCAACGCAAGATGTTGACGTCTTGTTTCCACTTCAACATCCTGCAAGAGTTCTCTTCCCCCGTGTGGCGTCACTGCAACGTGCTGGTGCAGAACATCACTGTTAGGTATTCTTACTCATTCTTGTGTTTACATAGCAGGAGATGTGTGGCACAAGCAACGCAAGATGTTGACGTCTTGTTTCCAGTTCAACATACTGCGAGAGTTCTCTTCCCCCGTATGGCGCCACTGCAACGTGCTGCTAAGGAATATTATTGTTAGGTATTCTTCCTCATTCTTGTGTTTACATTGCAGGAGATGTGTGGCACAAGCAACGCAAGATGTTGACGTCTTGTTTCCACTTCAACATCCTGCGAGAGTTCTCTTCCCCCCTATGGCGCCATTGCAACGTGCTGCTAAGGAATATTATTGTTAGGTATTCTTACTCATTCTTGTGTTTACATTGCAGGAGATGTGTGGCACAAGCAATGCAAGATGTTGACGTCTTGTTTCCACTTCAACATCCTGCGAGAGTTCTCTTCCCCCGTGTGGCGTCACTGCAAACGTGCTGCTGCAGATCATAACTTTTAGGTATTCTTACTCATTCTTGTGTTTACATTGCAGGAGATGTGTGGCACAAGCAACGCAAGATGTTGACGTCTTGTTTTCACTTCAACATCCTGCGAGAGTTCTCTTCCCCCGTATGGCGTCACTGCAACGTGCTGCTGCAGAAGCTAGTAGTCAATGGAGGAGCCCCGCTGGATATTGTACCCCTCGCTAAACTGTTGGCTCTTGACATTATTTGTGGTACGATTTTTAACAAATAATTTTTAAGATAGGCTAAGCATGAGGGGTTTTAATGACATTAAAACGTGGGGTTTAATTGTCTTACAGAAAACTGTTTGATCATAAAAACGCGTCCGTTGTTTCTACAATGTTGTGTAGGAACGTTTGATATTATTAATGCAGTTTTTTCTAAACGATGAATCACTTAGAAAAACAAGGTCAACACAAACTGAATTTACTTGACCGTGATGAAAAATGTTTTAACATATTTTGTTTAGTTAATATGACATCTTAACAATATAAACTTGTACCTTGAAACAGGTTTATAAGTAACATAAAGTTACAGCTTAGTCTATGTTGGTACATTTAAATCATTTCTTTATCAGCGATCTTTTAGTTTTGAAGGAACATAGGTTTTAGAGCAATGCGTTATTCAACAGCTTGGATCGATTCCAATTTGTACTTTTCTCGTTCCAGAGACCGCCATGGGTATTGACATCGCAACCCAAGCCAACTTCGACTCTGAGTATCCTTCGGCAATATCGAGGTACTTTACACAACAATCACTGTAGTTTAATGAACCAGTTAAATTACATTGTATTTTAGAGAAATTACTAACACTTCACCAGGGTACAGGCACATTTGTTTTAAAGATTGCACGGACTGAAATAAGTTTTATTTTTCTTGTTAGTGGATCATCGGCATTTTACTTTGTATTAAAGTGTTATAAAGTAATAAAGTATTGTAATTAAAATTGTAATTAATATAAGATCTATCAGTTACAAACCAAACAACATTCTATTGTCGGTTTACATAATTTTAACTTTAACAAGAGATTAGAAGTGTAATTATTGCAGCTTACAGGGTGCGTTAGGAATAGGATTGAAACAAATAAGCTATCACGGATGAAAAAAATACAAATATCTGTTTTCAAAATGAATCTCTTTTTACAACCCTATTTGAATTTAAATCTTATGTAACATTTAACTTCTTATTTTCTGTTTTCATAAAATTGATTCTAATATTCTTCTTACAGAATGACAGACATTCTCAGTTACCGCTTCATCACGCCCTGGGTCAAGCCTAAAGCCATCTTCAACCTGACACCTAGTGGAAGAGAATACAACAAACTGTTAGCTAAGGTGCAAGCCTTCGTCAAGAAGGTGAGATATATTATTATTATGAATACAATATACAGGCTCTACATGTTGTATTATGACGACCGTTTAGTGTATAGTATTAAGTATCCAACAATTAAAGATATACAGTGTCACACCAACACTACGTGCTTTCATAAAATATGAGACAGGATATGATGAAATAGAACTAAGTATTTTTCAAGTTTAATTACCAGGAGGTATGATTAAAAACATTATATTTGTATAAGAGCATGGCAACACAAGTTTACTGCGAAAATTACCATACAATAAGGCTATTTGAAAAACGATTTCGGAATATATATTTGGAATGAGTACGACAACAAATTAACGTATCAGCAATTTCATCCATAAATCAACAAACACAGGTAAATGCCATTTCGATCCTAAATATTAATCAACGTTGTACACCTCACAGCAACCTATATGTATCACTTACATAAATTCAAACTTTTAGAATGATTTTATCGATGTTTTTGTTATGGGTTTTTGAACATTTTCATTATAACTATCCACTCATTTTTAGTATCAAATGAAAAAGTTCTCTACTATGAAACGCCTAGAAGGAGATTTTTGAGGCTAGACCATACTCAACATCAGAACAACCCCTTTAGCCTTTAAAGTTCTTAATTTATGATTAGGAATGGTTGTTGGGGTTGCCAATATTAAAATAATCCGTAGTTGGCGATTGAGTGGTAAATTGTTCTTTAATGAAAACAGATTACGAATGTAGTTTATGTTTATTTTGTTGTTTACGGTAACTACAGGATATCATGAATTAAATTTTAAACTTGATAACTGGCAACAGGTAGACTTCATTTTCCGATTATTAAAAAGGGCTTAAGGGTAGGACCAACACGTAATTTGGTAAAATATGATTTTACAATTGATTACCTGACAGAAATAGAAAATTTAACTAGTAAGTTTGTAAAATTAAATAATTATTGTACTTGCAGATAATTGTTAAACGGAAAGAAGAACTTGTTAACAAGAAGTTGGGTGTTGCGGAGATATCTGTTGCCTGTGAGGGGGAGGTGGAAGGCAAGACTGTAGTCATAGAGGATGATACCACAGACGTTCCAGACATGTGTAAAGACTGTCACCAACCTATCTGCAGATCTGACGGATCTCGTAAGTTATTTATAGGCTATTTTTGTATAAATTAACATTGGTATTAGAGCATAAAGGATAATATCTGAGGCATTTATACAAGAATACAAGAATAATAATTTTTGATTTATAGGAAAACGTTTGCCATTGATCCTATAATCACGAGGTTGTCACTTCAATCCTGAGAATATTCCAAATCTGTTTGATGGTTAAAAATATACCTAGCTGTCCTTGATAATCGGAATTTTAATAAATTATGATGGCTAAATAACTAGCTGATCTCAGTCAGGAATAATGCTGTCATCTAATTCATTAAAAAATCATCTTTTCACTAATATTTGTCTAAATATTTTATAAATAAAAAAACTTTTTTAAAACAAAACGTTTTTAAATGCACTAAAAGTAGAAAATAATTTTTAAAGATGTGGAGAGTATAAATACTTGTAAGATTTAAAACGAAAAACGTGGGGTGCGTGCAATTGATAATTTACAATTACCTTAACCTATTGAACTAACGTATTATTATCAATTGCATGCACCCCACGTTTTTCGTTTTAAATCTTACAAGTATTTATACTCTCCACATATTTAAAATTATTTTCTACTTTTAGTGCATTTAAAAACGTTTTGTTTTAAAAAAGTTTTTTATTTATAAATTATTTTCTACTTTTTTTTAATGTGTGCGGATGTTAAATCTATTTCAAGCATCTATATCAGATTAAGACAGAGGCATGTGGGAAATCTAAGGATTATTTGAGTTTCTTTTCATATAATTATGTATTAGATTAAATGTATGTCCTACCTACTAACTATAGACATAGACTAACCTCTACCTCTTAACTTCTCGTCTTCGAACTGTCAAATTTACGTATTTACAGCTGACTTAAATTAATTGATATATTTACATTCTTTCAAAATGTAAACATGGAAAATTTGGAAGCCCGTGGGGCGTAGCCCAAGGGAAGTATGAAAATTAAATGATATAATATTGCATTGTCATCCATTTGTGAGCTAAGTTTCAAATTTAAAGTCTCTAGCTCATCGGGAACTTCGTATAAAATTGATATCAAAATTTGTAGGAAAGCGAGCTAATAAAAACAAAAAACAATACCATGGGGCGTAGCCCAAGGGAAATATGAAAATTAAATGATATAATATTGCATTGTCATCCATTTGTGAGCTATGTTTCAAGTTTCAAGTCTCTAGCTCATCGGGAAGTATCAAAATTTGCAAGAAAGCGAGTTAATAAAAACAAGCCCATGGGGCGTAGCCCAAGGGAAATATGAAAATTAAATGATATAATATTGCATTGTCATCCATTTGTGAGCTATGTTTCAAGTTTCAAGTCTTTAGCTCATCGGGAAGTATCAAAATTTGCAAGAAAGCGAGTTAATAAAAAGAAGCCCATGGGGCGTAGCCCAAGGGAAATATGAAAATTAAATGATATAATATTGCATTGTCTTTCATTTGTGAGCTATGTTTCAAGTCTGTAGCTCATCGGGAAGTTAGTATAACATTGATTGCAAAGTTTGTACCGGACAAGAAAGCGAGCTAATAAAAACGTTTTAAAATACGCTCCCTAGTGTTAGCCCCGTGACAGTTTATTCTCTGATCCATGTAAACCTAAGTCGGAAATACATAATCTTTGTCCTCTGGGCAGGTCGACGACTGGCTCTGTTGGACTGCCTTCTGCACATGTCACAAGATGACCCCAGCATCACAGACGAGGAGATCACGGACCAAGTCAACACATTCATGTTTGCTGTGAGTGAATCGCAAGTGTTGCCACAATCTCAGCATCAAATAAGTTATCGCTTTGCACAGTGTTTGTACAATTTACCACTCCTACCTATTTCTTTTAGGATGTTGATATCTTTCATGATAACTTTATTTTTTTCTTTATATATTTCCTGAAGTATGGTTTAGAAAAACTTGGTAAAAGCTGTTTTATGGTTCATATCATAAGATTGTTGCTTTAAACGTCTTGGTAGATGTAATATTCATTGTGTAAATGTTAAAACTTGTGTTAATATTGGGTAAGATCTCATCAAAAGTATTCGGAAGACGCCAACCTTTTCTTATTTGCCGCATTTGTCACATTTTTCGTGAAGCTATCAGCAGTGGATGATTGAAAACACAGGTTTCATAGTCAATGTTATTATTGTATGAGTATTATTTATAGTCAATGGTATTATTGTATAAGTACGTATTGTTAAAAAGAAATGATCACATTACCATACCTGTAAACAGTACGCAATAAAGCTCTCACTGTTAGCTCGCGTCTGCGATCGGGAATAACTATTCCTGCTCGCTAAATCAACTGATAACTGTTGTTTAACTGTTGGAGTTTCTATAAAAAACAAACACCCGGTAAGGAAAAACATAATCTTAAATAGCAATCATGAATTAAATTTAATTTTATAAACAACTATAAGGGTTAGTTATGATAAGCTAATTATGGTGGTAGGGGAAATGTCGTGTATATTACGAGCCCAAACCGTCATTGCCGCTCTCGAAATGTATTCTAATCTGATGACTTTGATTTCAGGGTCATGACACGATCGCTTGTGCACTCTCATTCAGTTTATTTGCGCTTGGACATCATCCAGAGTGGCAGGTGAATAGCGAATACACGAGAACTTGTTTTATAAACACCACAACAAAATATGTATCATACATACATACATACAGTATATACATGGTATATATACTTACTAAATGTTAAGGTTCTGTTTTGTGACGTAAAACTGTACCTACTTTACATCTGAGTAGCGTAAGACGAACGACACCTTCTCCAACAAATGTGAGCCATAGAGTATAGAGCCCTGTAGAAAACTCTTGATAATTCTTTGCCTTCTTGATTTAGACTTTCATTTTCCAAATGTACAGGGCGAATAAAAAGTCAAGACCCCCATCTAATATTTTTCGAAGTAAATATAAAGATATATCCTTTTGGTGGTCGTGCAATCTTAGCAGGAAGTTTCATTTTAGCGAATTTCCCTATAGGGAAGTAGCTATTACCGTAGGTGGCACGGTAAGACCTAGACCCGGGACCGATTTACTTTTTCATTTTGATGTCCCCAGAGGCCAAAAACACCATTCGTTCAAATTTTTATATATGTATATATATATAGACTTATATATATATATATATATATATATATATATATATATATATATATATATATACGTCCGTGAACGCGATAACTTGAGTAATTTTTGTCCGATTTTGATGAAATTTGGTTTAAAGGTGTAAAGCGGGATAAACTTGAATGAGTTCGCGAACCAGCACGATCGGACCATGAGAACGGGGCTTTACGGGGGGTTTTATGGGGTAAAAATTGGTTTTTCTCACTTTTGACCCTCAAAACACAAAATTTCCCGATTTCTCTTTAGACCTTTTTAAAGAGCTTAAAAAACAAATAATTTAGTATATAAAAGTATTTTTGTTCGATTATTAGTAACGGAGAAAATAAAAAAAAAATGTTAATTTAAAATTCCCATGTTATTCTTATGGAGAATATTGTCAAATGTTGTAGTTTGCTTGTTTATGGATATATTTTGATCAAACTTGGCAAATTTATTTATTTTGTACTAAGCTATCAATATTTTAGCGAATTTCCCTATAGGGAAGTAGCTATTACCGTAGGTGGCACGGTAAGACCTAGACCCGGGACCGATTTACTTTTTCATTTTGATGTCCCCAGAGGCCAAAAACACCATTCGTTCAAATTTTTATATATGTATATATATATATATATATATATATATATATATTATTAAGCAAATCAAAATACCACAGTACCCTAGAAACATTTTATTTTATATTACTTACATGTTTCGGACATTAATGCCATGATCACAGTATAGTATATAACCTATTAGTTTCTTTTATTTACAAACATTATTAGATATTTCTTATTAAAGAACAGGTGATAATTTTTATATTAAGGGAAGGAGGTGTTTTCTTTAAGATGTATAATTTCATTGAATATTACGTTTTGATTTTGAATTTGTGTCAAGTTTAGTAAATTGTCTTTGTCATTAATATGGTGAGTATAAATATAAAAGTCTTCCTTTGTATTTATTTTTTCTCCTTTATTTTCAATATCCAGAATGTGCATGTTTTTATTCATTTCTGAGTATGTATGGTCGGTCTGAAGTATATGTTCGGCGTATGAGGATTTTTGTGTTGTCATATTGTTTGATCTGATTGCCTGTATATGCTCTTTGTATCTGACTTCAAATGTTCGACCTGTTTGACCAATATAGTATTTTTCACAGTTGTTACATGATAATTTGTAAATTCCTGATTTCTTATATACATTTGGTGGGTTGGGTATCGGATTTGTTCTTTTTTGTATTATGTTAAAAGCGTTATTCCTTGTTTTATAACTTAGTTTAAATTTTGAGTTCGGTAATGTCTTTCTTAAGGTTTTGTTTAAGGATGAGCTGAATGGAATACATATAAATTATTTCTTTACATTTTCTTGTTCTTCTACTTTCATTCTTTTAGTTTTTTTCATTTTTTATTAATTTTTCAATCATTTTTTCTTTGTATCCATTTGTTCCTGCAATTCTTTTTATAGTTTTCTTTTCTATTTCAAAGTTGTCTTTAGACATTGGTATGTTAAGTAGTCTAAATACCATTGATTTGAATGTAGAAATTTTGTGTTGCCAAGGATGGTTTGACTCAAATGGAATGATTAGGTCAGTTTGGGTAGGTTTCCTATATATATTGAAATTATGTCGATCGTTTTCTTTAGTAATTGTTATGTCTAAGAAATTTATCTTCTTTTCTTGTGTCTCCATCGTAAATTTAATTGTTGGGGAGATAGAATTTAAGTATTTCAAAAAATCTTGATATGAGTCTTTATTGCCGTTGTATAAGCATAATATATCATCGACATATCTATACCAATAGATTATATCTTTTTTAAATGGATTTTCGTCGTTTATGATTTTTGATGATTCTAGATGCTGCATATATATGTTTGCTAGAATACCAGAAAGTGGAGAACCCATAGCCAATCCTTCTAATTGTTTGAAAATTTTGCCATTGAATTCAAAATAGCTTTGATTGATTGCTACTCTAGATAGTTTCATAAGATCATTTAACTCATTTTTTGAAACCTGTTTATTTTTGTTTAAAGTTTCTTGAAGGATTTGAAGGGTATCTTTTGTAGGAATATTTGAATACATATTAGTTACATCAAAGGAGATAAAAATTGCATTTTCAGGTATTAATTCATCCTTAATTTTTTCAATTAATTTATATGTATTGTTGATACTGTATCCAGATTCAAAGTTTATCTTATGTTTTAGTTTATTATTTAGGTACTTACATACATTGTATGCTGGGGCATTTCGGTAGTTAACAACAGGACGTATTGGTACATTTGTTTTATGTGTTTTAGGTTGTCCTCTAAATTTTGGTATTATTGGATTTATCATTTTTAGTTGTATCATGTCACTTTTATTTAAAGTTTTACATTTAGATATTGTACTATTAATTTCTTTACTGTATTCTAGTGTGGGATCTTTAGAGAGATCTCTGTAATTATTGTCTTCAATAAAGTTTTCTACCTTTTTGTTATAGTCGTCTATGTTTATTATAACAGTTGTATTTCCCTTATCAGCTTTGGTTATTATTGCGTTGTTATCTTTGAGTTTTTTTGATATTGATGTTACAGTATTTAAGTCTTTTCTAGACTTCTTTATTATACCTTTGTTTTTAGTTTCTATTCTATTTTTGTCTAATTCATGTACAAAATTATGTCTAATTGATTCTTGGATGTCTGTCTTTTGTTTTGCTTTTGTTTTGTTTTGTCTTGGGGTACTGTGGTATTTTGATTTGCTTAATAACATTTAAAGTAGCCCTCATTGATGTATACAATAAAAAAAAAAAAAAAAAAAAAAATATATATATATATATATATACGTCCGTGAACGCGATAACTTGAGTAATTTTTGTCCGATTTTGATGAAATTTGGTTTAAAGGTGTAAAGCGGGATAAACTTGAATGAGTTCACGAACCAGCACGATCGGACCATGGGAACGGGGCTTTACGGGGAGTTTTATGGGGTAAAAATTGGTTTTTCTCACTTTTGACCCTCAAAACACAAAATTTCCCGATTTCTCTTTAAACCTTTTTAAAGAGCTTAAAAAAACAAATAATTTAGTATATAAAAGTATTTTTGTTCGATTATTAGTAACGGAGAAAATTTAAAAAATTGTAAATTTAAAAATTCCCATGTTATTCTTATGGAGAATATTGTCAAATGTTGTAGTTTGCTTGTTTATGGATATATTTTGATCAAACTTGGCAAATTTATTTATTTTGTACTAAGCTATCAATATTTTAGCGAATTTCCCTATAGGGAAGTAGCTATTACCGTAGGTGGCATGGTAAGACCTAGACCCGGGACCGATTTACTTTTTCATTTTGATGTCCCCAGAGGCCAAAAACACCATTCGTTCAAATTTTTATATATGTATATATATATATATATATATATTTATATATATATATATATATTTATATATATATATATATTTATATATATATATATACGTCCGTGAACGCGATAACTTGAGTAATTTTTGTCCGATTTTGATGAAATTTGGTTTAAAGGTGTAAAGCGGGATAAACTTGAATGAGTTCGCGAACCAGCACGATCGGACCATGGGAACGGGGCTTTACGGGGAGTTTTATGGGGTAAAAATTGGTTTTTCTCACTTTTGACCCTCAAAACACAAAATTTCCCGATTTCTCTTTAAACCTTTTTAAAGAGCTTAAAAAAACAAATAATTTAGTATATAAAAGTATTTTTGTTCGATTATTAGTAACGGAGAAAATTTAAAAAATTGTAAATTTAAAAATTCCCATGTTATTCTTATGGAGAATATTGTCAAATGTTGTAGTTTGCTTGTTTATGGATATATTTTGATCAAACTTGGCAAATTTATTTATTTTGTACTAAGCTATCAATATTTTACTCAAAAACACACTTTATTAGTTTCCTTGTAGCAGCAAACCTAGGTACTCGTTAAACCTAATGTTATAAAATATATTTAACTGAAAATCAATTCAGACAAATGGAAATTCGCTTAGTCGGCAGGTTTGCTGCGGCGGGGGTATTATGATTTTGAATTATTTTTTGAGTGTCCCCCCAAAAAGGGGGATTTGGGGGGCAACTCAAATATTTTAAATGTAAACCCCTTTCAAGTGACACCTAATTTTGAAGGGTTTACAAAAACTTAAAGAATGGTGAAAACTAGAGGTCGCTATCTTTTTTCTATCCAAAATGGTAGCCCATCAAATGTTGTGGAAAATCAATGGTAAAATTGGGTTGTAATGGTAATATTGGCTACCATTTTGGATAGAGAAGAGATAGCGAACACTGGTTTTCACCATTCTTTAGGTTTTTGTAAACACTTCAAAATAAGGTGTCACTTGATGGGGGTTTACATTGAAAAACTTTTAGTTGCCCCGAAATCCCCCCTTTGGGGGGGCACTCAAAAGTTAGCTGGTCTACTAAACTTGATTGGACTAGTTCCCCAGTCAATTATGGGAAATTTGATGTTGCAGGACGCCATAGTAGAGGAGGTGGACCAATGGTGTCCTGACCTCTTGTCTGCACATCCTGAGGCTCGCGTGTTCCTCAAGGGACTACCAGTGTTGGACAGATGTGTGCGAGAGGCCCTGAGGCTCTACCCACCTTCACCCATGGTTGGTCGCACTATCAACCACCCCTTGGATACTCGTGAGTTGTTTCTTACTTTACATGTATTGAAGTTCATTTTATGATATAAGCACTACCCTCTGAGCTCTGGGTCACTCTAGTATATTTACATGCGTTTGCTTTTATTCAGTATTGTTGCAATCGAAACTTCAGTGTATATAATTACCACTTTTTCAGTTGTTTTGTTTATTTTATTTTTAAACAGTTTTACAGGATATGCAATAATTCTTGTTGTTTCGAACTGTAAAAACAGATCTGTTGTTCCAGATACAAAGGATTCTTCTCAATACTGACCATGTTTAATAACAATAATTGTTTCATTTAGTTATTTTCACCATACTATGATTTCACAAGGTATAGTCATTTAAGTGCATATTTTCTGTATTTTTTTTATTTATTTGCCTACATAGCAACAGTAGTTTAACAAGTAGTATAATCATTTTTGTTACATACAGTGGTCATTTTTCGGTAATCTGAATGCGAACGATGAGTTATCTTTCCCAACACACCTACCTGCTGGTCGTGACATTTGTTGTGACGTATGTGATGACAAATCATCCGTCAAATCAATCAAAAACATTGAAACATATCGGAATTTATGGATTTCGCTTTTACAGGAAGAAGACTGGGACAAATAAAATAAAAACTTGATCACATTTTTAAGATAAATTCGTATTATAGTGGTTTTAAACATTTGTATGCCACATTTTGCACTGAAAAATATATAAAATATATATTAAGTACCTAGAAAGGGATGATTGTACTATTTTAAAATGTATCAAAGGTAAGACGAGGGACTCAAAGTATAGTATACGTATAGTATAGTTTAAGTGTAGTAACCTTGCTATATTCTCTAGACTTGCGCCTTCCTCCTTATATCTAACGCCGCAGTACACTCAAGTTGAGCGTTGTGTAGTTGTAGTTAGAAGGCAACTTTAGATTGTATAATGTATACCTAGCATGTATTTTGTACAGCGGAGGGGACGCTGCCTGCTGGCACCACCGCTATACTCTACACGTTCCTGCTGCACAGAGACCCTACGGTGTTCAACAACCCTCACACGTACGATCCACTGTAGATTGTATAATGTATACCTAGCATGTGTCTGTACAGCGGAGGGGACGCTGCCTGCTGGCACCACCGCTATACTCTTTCCTGCTGCACAGAGATCCTACGGTGTTCAACAACCCTCACACGTATGATCCACTGTAGATTGTATAATGTATACCTAGCATGTGTCTGTACAGCGGAGGGGACGCTGCCTGCTGGCACCACCGCTATACTCTACACGTTCCTGCTGCATAGAGATCCTACGGTGTTCAACAACCCTCACACGTACGATCCACTGTAGATTGTATAATGTATACCTAGCATGTGTCTGTACAGCGGAGGGGACGCTGCCTGCTGGCACCACCGCTATACTCTTTCCTGCTGCACAGAGATCCTACGGTGTTCAACAACCTTCACACGTACGATCCACTGTAGATTGTATAATGTATAACTAGCATGTGTTGTACAGCGGAGGGGACGCTGCCTGCTGGCACCACCGCTATACTCTTTCCTGCTGCACAGAGATCCTACGGTGTTCAACAACCCTCACACGTATGATCCACTGTAGATTGTATAATGTATACCTAGCATGTGTCTGTACAGCGGAGGGGACGCTGCCTGCTGGCACCACCGCTATACTGTACACGTTCCTGCTGCACAGAGATCCTACGGTGTTCAACAACCCTCACACGTACAATCCACTGTAGATTGTATAATGTATACCTAGCATGTGTCTGTACAGCGGAGGGGACGCTGCCTGCTGGCACCACCGCTATACTCTACACGTTCCTGCTGCACAGAGACCCTACGGTGTTCAACAACCCTCACACGTACGATCCACTGTAGATTGTATAATGTATACCTAGCATGTGTTGTACAGCGGAGGGGACGCTGCCTGCTGGCACCACCGCTATACTCTACACGTTCCTGCTGCACAGAGATCCTACGGTGTTCAACAACCCTCACACGTACGATCCACTGTAGATTGTATAATGTATACCTAGCATGTGTTGTACAGCGGAGGGGACGCTGCCTGCTGGCACCACCGCTATACTCTACACGTTCCTGCTGCACAGAGATCCTACGGTGTTCAACAACCCTCACACGTACGATCCACTGCAGATTGTATAATGTATACCTAGCATGTATTTTGTACAGCGGAGGGGACGCTGCCTGCTGGCACCACCGCTATACTCTACACGTCCCTGCTGCACAGAGATCCTACGGTGTTCAACAACCCTCACACGTACGATCCACTGTAGATTGTATAATGTATACCTAGCATGTGTTGTACAGCGGAGGGGACGCTGCCTGCTGGCACCACCGCTATACTCTACACGTTCCTGCTGCACAGAGATCCTACGGTGTTCAACAACCCTCACACGTACGATCCACTGCAGATTGTATAATGTATACCTAGCATGTGTTGTACAGCGGAGGCGACGCTGCCTGCTGGCACCACCGCTATACTCTACACGTTCCTGATGCACAGACATCCTACGGTGTTCAACAACCCTCACACGTACGATCCACTGCAGATTGTATAATGTATACCTAGCATGTGTTGTACAGCGGAGGGGACGCTGCCTGCTGGCACCACCGCTATACTCTACACGTTCCTGATGCACAGACATCCTACGGTGTTCAACAACCCTCACACGTACGATCCACTGCAGATTGTATAATGTATACCTAGCATGTATTTTGTACAGCGGAGGGGACGCTGCCTGCTGGCACCACCGCTATACTCTACACGTTCCTGATGCACAGACATCCTACGGTGTTCAACAACCCTCACACGTATGATCCACTGTAGATTGTATAATGTATACCTAGCATGTATTTTGTACAGCGGAGGGGACGCTGCCTGCTGGCACCACCGCTATACTCTACACGTTCCTGCTGCACAGAGATCCTACGGTGTTCAAAAACCCTCACACGTACGATCCTGACCGCTTCCTGTCTCACAACGTCCCTCAGGACTCCTTCGCCTACATGCCGTTCAGTGCCGGGCCTCGCAACTGCATAGGTTAGCTAAAATAACACCACATGACAATGCATAACAAAGCAGTTCATTACGGTGCAGTAAAGCATATTATAGGTTGTTAAAGGGTAATACTACATAGTACGATATAGTAAAATTATTAGCCATGCCTCCTTCTGATACATTTCCTTCATTTGAGGTCACCTGTACATAAAAGTTGCTTTTGTCGAAATATTGCGTTGAACAAATAATAATTAAGTTACAAAAATTTGTTTGAGATTAGTTTTGGATATTAGAACTACATAAATTTATGAGAGTTATACATACAGGTTGTTGTTTTTTAACGCAACCCACATTACAAGTACAAAGATTCACTGTTTAGGGACAAAATAAGCTCATATGTTGGTATTCGTGCCACCTCTTTGTAATAGGCGATCAGTTTATATGCATTTTAACATTGTTTACACGGTTCAATCTTATTGGGAAATTATTGTGAATAATTTCACACTCAACATGGTGTTTTTACAAGCCCAAAAAGTATTTACTATAGAGGAATACATTAAATGTAAGCTATCCAATGCTATTATTTATTCATTTATGCTTAAAATTTCTTCTTTTAGGGAAAAACCTTGCGATGCTTGAACTCAAGATCCTGTTGGCAATGATACTCAAGAGCTGCAGAGTCAAGTCCCTACAGAAACCAGAAGACCTCGATATGTCTTTTGAAATCGTTCTGACAAATAAAAGCGGAATATTATTGGAAATCTCTCCAAGGAAGTGATTTGGAAACTACAAGTTTTTGCTGTGCAAAACTCTATCTTTATACTACTTTTGTAATTTGCTCTGGAAGACATTTAGTTTATCACTGTTGTTGGACATAACTATAAAAACAAACCATGATTAATAAATTTATATGACGTGACAATCAACAGTTTAAAAAGGCAACTTTAATAAAGATATATAAAAAAACTCAAATTTGCCTCAGTAAAAATGTGTGTAACAATTGTAAATAAATTTTCAAATAACCGATGTGCACTTTTAAGGTATTCGTTAAACGAACAGTTTTATTTTTAAATGTAACTCACTGTATATGCTATATTGTATTGGTAAGAAACAATGGATAAGCTTTTTTAGTGAATGCTTAAGCTGTTATTTTGTTACTTGTTATTTTATATAATACTATTATTACTTTGTAGATACGTATTACATTATGTTATTTACGTAAAATTGTTATGAGGGGAATTTGTTAGTAACATGTATATTACGGCTGTGAACAAAACGAACCTTAGTTTTTTTTATAAATACACTAGTTAATTAGTGACGTATGTTTTAAGATAATACTAAACATTTATTAAATGTACTTGTACATACTCACGTTTGTATTCTATCAATTATTGCACCAGTACTATCGTTGTTCTAGAATATAATAGTATTTTAAGAATAAAGCTTTCAATTGATTCAAAACAAAACATTTTGAAAACTTAATGGCAATTCGATAAAACATTAATAGACATATTTAACAGTCCTTGGTATAAAGGTGGCGTTTTGGAATACGAGATGTTGTGATGTGAATAATAAACACAAACTTCAATACTGAATTTCCCTTACTGAATCTCTATTTATACTAACATGAGGTCCACGACATGTAAACAATACATATCAGTGGCGCCCACTCACTCACACTTGCTTTACATACATACAGCCGTCGGGATGATTGCAATCTTGCCACCTCACTAGGTCGTAGTACACTTCACTTAACTCTTCTGTCACAGAGGAATTCACGTCTGGGCTAGGGTCTAATGTTTGTGTTATGTTGTGAAAATGTCTCGTATTGGTATTTTCAATTACCTAATTCTGCGAGAAGCAGTAAATAAGCATATGATCTATCTGTATTTTAGTACTTATTTCTGCTATAACAGTTGCTGGTCATCTCAAGACTGAACCGGAGACCTACTAATTACTAGACGACCACTATATCTAATCAATTACTCGCCTAAACCTTGGTTTAACTCAATCTTCCCCTGGACTAGTCACACAAGAGACCGCATCTTAGAATTAAAATACTACTATCAAAATTTATTTGATTTTCCAAAATAACCCTTAGATTTGCAAAAGACTTCTATTTATTATTTCTTTGATCTATACATACTACCAATGACTAAATACCCATAAAAAAGGATTGCTTGGTGTGTGTGTGTGTGTGTTGAAGTGGGATTCGCGGTCGATTAAAATATATAATATAAATGGTTTAAACACAGTAGCTACATATCACCTTCCATTGCATACCTTCCACTGAAACCTTGAGAGTTGGCAGGAGTCAATAGTTTTGCATTGTTTTTAACCGTGATGTCAGACTAAACAATGGTTGTCTTAGCGCCGATCAGCAAAAACATGCGTTCACGTTGAAGCATATTAATCATGCACCATAAGCTTGATTACCGAGCAGAAAATTTTATTTGATTCTTGAATATATTTTTCGTGTGAATTGCTTTTATTGATTTTTCAAACTTTTGTTTTAGAGGTTGAAATTAATCACAGTAAAGCTAATACGAAGGTAGCCTACTTAGCTTTACTTTGGAAACAAAGTAACAATATTGTAAAACTTGTTTGTAGTCAGTATAAACCTTCTTATGTTCAAAACAGTTTATTTGCATTTTTAGTGTGCATTTTTCCAGATATGCTGGCAAAACTATTATAGGAATACCCTTGCCGCAGCAAACCTGACGACTAAGCGAATCTTCATTTGTCTGAATTGATTTTCATTTAAATCTATAAATAAAATTAGGTTCGACGATTACCTAGGTTTGCTGCTACAAGGAAACTAATAAAGTGTGTTTTTTTAGTAAAAAATATTTAGTAGTAAATAATTTTTTAGTAAAAGCTTAGTATAAAATAAATAAATTTGCCAAGTTTGATTAAAGTATATCCATAAAAAAACTACAACATTTTCCAATATTCTCCATATTGAACTTGCGATTAATTAAATCCATTATGAAATACACAACGTTTTTAATCTCACTTGGTCTGGATTTGCTTACAAAACGTGATTGGAAATGGTTGCAGTATTTGTAGACATCATTTAATGTAAATAAACGTATCAGTGACACCTAGAAAAGAAATTTGTGATCCAAACAGCTGTTCGTTATTTCATATATGACGTACTTCCAAACAGATGGGTAATCTTACTAATATTATAAATGTGAAAGTTTAGATGTATGGATGTATGGATGGATGTATGTTTGTGACAAGTGAACGCAAAAAATACTGGTCGGATCGGGCTGAAATTCGGCATGATGATAGCTCATATTCCCGATTAACATCTTACTAATATTATAAATGTGAAAGTTTAGATGTATGGATGTATGGATGGATGTATGTTTGTGACAAGTGAACGCAAAAAATACTGGTCGGATCGGGCTGAAATTCGGCATGATGATAGCTCATATTCCCGATTAACATATAGGCATATTTTTATCCCAAAAATCCTTCCGGGCTCCGCCCCAGTGGCTCTGGAGTTTCCCATGTTAAACTTATGAGAAATGGAATTAATGAATCTTAACAGCTGTTTCAATTAAACTAGTTGGTTCTGTTCTATGATGTTCAATAGCATTAAAGTTACAAGGATTACCAACAGGGTGCAGCACTATTATTTCTTTTACATTTATGACAACAGCTAATTTGCAACCAAAAGGTGAGTGAGCGTAGCGAACGAACTTCAACCTGGAGGCGAATGAGCGTAGCGAACGAGCTAACCTGAAGGCAAGTGAGCGTAGCAAACGAGCTAACCTGAAGGAAAGTGAGCGCAGCGAACGAGCTCCAACCTAAAGGTGAGTGAGCGTAGCGAACGAGCTCCAATCTAAAGGTGAGTGAGCGTAGCGAACGAACTTCAACCAGGACGTGATTGAGCCATGCAAACGAGATCATCTTGAAAATTAAGAAGTTAAACGGGGCAAAGCCCGCGGGTTACAGCTAGTAGTTCATAAATGACGTATGTGGTAAACGTTGGAAGAAAACTTGAAAAAATCGCACAAAATTTGGTTTTTGAACGTCCATTATTTTATTTGCAAAGTAGTGAGTCCATATTTTAATGGCTAAAGACACTCTCACTAATTCAGTGAAAACAGTAAAATGGTGTGAATTTTGATAAAATGGTTTGAATTTTGATAGGTGTTCTAGTTGTCTCGGAGTAGGCCGTGTAAATTGTCAGTTTGGCGTTACAGACACAATGACAGACAGACTGGCAGATTGAGATAACAAATAAACAAACAGAAACTGTGATAAGATCCGTTTCGGTTTTTTGGCTTTGATACGTAAAAATAAGCAAAAACTTCATGATTAAACGCAATGTACAGACAAAACTGTAATTTTATTTATATAGATATACATACGTAATATATAATGTTATATAGGGTGACAAAAAAGTCTGGAAACGGCTTAATATCTTTTTAACTAAATTCGTTAGAAAATTCAAACCTTTCACATAAACTTACATGTATGAAAACTACTTTTTGCATGCATTACCATTTTTTTCCTTCACCAGGGGACGGCTCATGAGGAGTAGGTACATAATCTTTAATTTAAGTATAGGTTGATATGCATATCATTTTTAAGGTCAGGTCAAGTGGAGTTCATTGCCGGAAACCGCGTATCATAAGGTTCATCCGTTACAAAATGGCGGCAGTCCAAAGATCTTGCGGAAAATACCTGCACAGGCCTTAGTATAGGTAAACATTAGCTTGAGAGCTGAAATTGTATTTTAATGTCAACTAGCCCATAGACTAAGTTTAGTTAATCTTCAAAACAAATTTAACCGGTTTTCAGATTTCCCAGCTAATGTTGACTATACGTATTTACCAATACTAAGGCCTGTGCAGGTATATTCCGCAATAACTTTGGACTGCCGTCATTTTGTAACGGATGAACCTTTTTTCTGGCAATGAACTCCACTTGACCAGACCTTTAAAATGGTGTGCAAACAACCTATGCTTACATTAAAGATTATGTACCTACTCCTCATGAGCCGTCCCCTGGTGAAGGTAACAAATTGTAATGCTTGCAAAAAGTAGTTTTCATACATATAAGTTGATGTGAAAGGTTTAAATTTTCTAACGAATTTAGTTTAAAAGATATCAAGCCGTTTCCAGACTTTTTTGTCACCCTGTATATTCACTGCATTGAAAAAATGGTAACGTTATTTTTTCATAAATATTTTTAGCGCCACACAAATCAAAGGCAGTGGAGGCTGTATTGTGGATAAGTTTGTAGATCGTGCGGTCAGAACTCATCCCCGGGCTGTACATTATATACGCTCAGTAGGCTGTTAATAATTAACGCGACCTTTAGCCGGATCTCCGCACACGTGAGTGTTGTGGCTTTACTAACCTTTGGTATTACTCAGATATGTTTCGTTACATCATTCAGATGTATATAAAACTGAATAGTTGATAACATTGATCTTTCTATCAAATAGAATACGTGGAACAATATAACATGGGCCGGGCAAAGAATTATTTGCAAATCTGATTAGCCAATCCTACATTTTAATTATCAAATGGCATTCTAACGGATACAGAAAGCAGATTTTTGTAACAAGGAATACATAAATTAATAATTATCATTTTTAAAAGCTTAGTTTGGATAAAGTATACCCATTATTTTATATAATCAGTATAATCCAAAGAATAATATTATAGATAAAAATAAAGGAATATAAATAAAGATATAAAATAAATAAGTAAAAGATACAATAAAATTAAATCATTAGGATAAGAAAGGCCTACCCTCTAGAATCCTTGAGTATCTGTGTTGTATCTGAGGTGTATCAGCTGTGCAAGCTAAAACACACAAAACCCCCGCTACCAACACAAAACGCACAAACCGTAGCTGTCACTGATACGTTTATTTACATTAAATGGTGTACAGGCTGGCTAATAGTACTGTATGCCAATAGTAAGATTACGCCTACAAAGTGTTAAAGCACAAAACTAAACACAGCAGTGTAGTCACGTACAAAGGCTTACCGTGTCTGTCTGGTCCAGGAGCAAGGAACGCTTACTGCTTACATGTCATTGCACTACTACTGACAACTGAATGTGTACAGTGCAACTGTGTTGCATAAAACTGTAACAGTCGTTTATTACAATTATTTTCACTGTTTTATGTAATTTATGGTATAAATTAAATAAAAGCCCAATTGGTAATATTGAAGTTAAATTTATGTTTAGTATTTTTGATATAATTACACTGAACAGTAAAGAAACTAATTATTTAATAAATCTTCGTAGCAAAAAAAAAAAAATCTTGTAATATTGATTAGTCAAAAAGCTCTTTTTTACAAATTATTATTTACCTTAGACAGATTAGGACATTTAACA